TTACTTAAAACTTTTACTAAATTCTTTCATAGATACAAAGATTTGATTAGTAAATTTGGCTGTACCTGTAGAAAACTTATCAAAAATAGTATTTCATATCCTAAATTTTACGGTAATATTGTACTTAAATCGCGGAAATCACTATGTGATCCGTGTAAACTCATCGAACCTTTAAACAAACTTATTAGTAAGGGTTATCGTACTAATGTTGTAATTAGATCTGTGAATATAGTTTACATTGGCATCAATATCGATTTTGTCATTAGCAAATTAAAACATAACTAAAATTGTATTTTCCTTTCAAACGGGATGTATAGAGACACACACACGTTCATTTTTATCTATAAAGAAGTCACTCCTAACTATCCTACTACCTGTCGATACATTTATTTTTGGCATTGCACAAGTCATGTCTTCTTTGACTGTTCATGACGTTAAAATACTAAATCACTGGGATGTGTTTTTTAGTTGATTTCAGTCCCTGATGAATGATTTTTTATTATTAATTGTTTTGGCTTTTAACTATCTGTCAGTAACTGCGAGTACTCTCAAATCGTACTTTCTATTTAATTTGACCTGTTGATACTATTTGTAATGCTATTTTGTTATTTAATGTTAACATGGATCTTGTCTATATACCAGCTTTAATTATTTGGTATTACTTCAAGTTTTCTCTTCTTCGTACTATGAACATCAAAATTATTTAATTTCTCCTTAAATATTGTTCTTAAAACTGTACAGGAAGTTTTATCTAGCACTTATTGTATAGTTTTATTGTACCAAGTGTTAGATTAGTTTTATTGATATTAAAGAAATTTCTTGGTATTCCTAAACGGAAGATTTTATACACACAGAAGAATAAGTACAAATGTATAGTTAACAACAAAATTATTTTCATTTACCTCTGTATAATATGACGCAGGTTTTTTCAAAAGTGAATATTTTCTAAATATTGTTTAACATTTCACAGTGGTATCATACTTTAACTTTGTTTAAACCTGTTTATTTACTTTTTACCTTAATTATTTATCACTTATAATTTTTATCAACTATGTATTTGCATTCAGGTATCACAGATCAAATTTATTCGTTCATTGTGTGTTAATTTACGTTTTATGATTGAGTTAAGCCTTCCAATTGATATTTTATAGTGTGTCTTTCTATGTTGTGATGTTATACTATTGTTTCAGAAAAGGGAGACGGTTTGGTACCATTAAAACGTTTAATCCCGCCGCAAATGTTTACACCTGTCCTTAGTCAGGAATCTGATGTACAGTAGTTGTCGTCTGTTTATGTAGTTCATACGTGTTTCTCGTTTCTCGTTTTTATATAGATTAGACCGTTACACTAGTAATTTTTGGGGCCCTTTATAGCTTGCTGTTCGGTTTGAGCCAATACTCCGTGTTGAAGGCCGTACCTTGACCTATAATGGTTTATTTTTAAATATAGTTACTTGGATGGAGAGTTGTCTCATTAGCACTCATACAACATCTTCCTATATCTATATATCTATTACAAGTACTTAGAAATGGCAAAGTATTATGAATAAGAAAAATTATGATTTCGAATTACTAAAAAATTTAGAAATTATTACGAGGTTTTTATCAATGCGAATAATGTGACTGGGTGATTCTCGCAATAATAAGAACTGGCACTTACATATCTGATATATATATATATATATATATGTTTTTTTTTTAAAAAACGCAATAATTATTTTCGTCTTTTGTCCATTTTTCAAATATCGCACTAATAAATGCACGCAATAATTTCTGAATTTGCAGTATTCTATGAGTGTTTTTAACCCTGTGCAGTACCTGATAGATATAAGAAGATGTGGTATGAGTGCCAATGAGATAACTATCATTCCAAATCACAATTTGTAAAAGTAAACCATTATCGGTCAAAGTACGGCCTTCAACACGGAGCCTTGGCTCACACCGAACAGCAAGCTATTAAGGGCCCCAGATAATAACTAGTGTAAAACCATTCAAATATGAAAACCCACGGTCTAATCTATATAAATAAAAACGAGAAACGAGAAACACTTATGAACCACATCAACAAACGACAACCACTGAACATCAGGTTCCTGACATGTGCAAACAAATGCAGCGGGTTTAAACGTTTTAATAGGCGCCAACCTTCACCCTTCCTGTAACAATAGTGTAACATCACAACATAGAAAGACACACTATCAGATATCAATTGATTGGCTCAACTAAATCAAAAGACATATTAACAAAAACAAGTGAACATACACTGAACGAATGAATTTAATCTATGACACAATGTAAATATAACATTAATGTATGTTTTAGTGTGGCCTCACAAACTTTTGATTTTTTTCAATGTACATATATGACACAGATGTAATGCACATGAAATTGGTATATTGTTTTGATTGTACTAGCACTTAAGTTTTAAAGCGAAAAGATGCTTCAGGTAAAGAATTGTTTGTCTCTCTGTGCAATTTCAATTTTAATTTTTTGTTTTTGAACATTGTTTGTTTTGTTTGTATCCATTTCATTGATTGCCTCGCCATGTCTGTATTTCTTCGTTTTTGATACCTTTTCCTGTAATCTATCGTATTGTTACGTTTGATTGGCCGTAGACATCAGAAACGTCCTTCTTGACACATTTACGGTGCATACCGTGGTTACATTCTGAAAAGTTTAAAAGTGATCAATGTAGACAACAACAATGGTTAAACACATCAAATTGTTATGTTTTAAGTGAGTGCTAAGTGAAAAGTCGATGTTTCAAATTATTTTTTTAAAGCGACCATTAACCATTATTTCTGTCTTTGACTACTAAACAAAGGTCGGGTAATGTGTTGGCTTTCAGAAAATGCACGAACTTAAAGTATATTCTACGTAACTCCAAGGAGAATATCATTCACCTAAGGACAACGATGAAAGGTTGAGTGTTAAGACCTTTTTGAGTTTGTTGGTATTGATTGGCCACGAATTTAAGTATGCAAAATACAAATTTTATTTCCGCTTGTTTAAAATATCTATTGTTGTTCTCAATTGAACAACTTTTCTTTTTTTTTTATATCCATAAAATCGTTTGATGATTCAGTTTTTTTTTATCAATAATAGACTAAGGACACAATCTTCACCATACTCATTGATATAAATCGGGTTTTTTTCAATACTTCTACATTATATCTGATTTCATGTTCTATAGCGAAATAGAACAAGAACAGTCTCCTATACTATATCAATATATAAGCACAGATAAACTGTGAAGTGTTATTTTTTTGTCATTCTATAAAAGACTAGCTGTATGTTTGCTTACAAATGTAATAATGGATACTCTGAAATTTCCATAAAAACGTTTTCGGATGAGGTAAGGTAGTAATCAAATATAGAACATCGAAGAAGGCTTCCAAAACCCTCTTAGCTGTCTATTAGATATAAAAAAAAATGAAGATGTGGCATGATTGCCAATGAGACAACTCACCATCAGAGACATAATGATGTGAAAGTTGACAACTATAGGTCAGCAAACGACCTTCAACAATGACTAATACCCATACCGCATAGTAAGCTATAAATACTTCATATATCTTTAAATATTCAGGACCGACCATATAAATGTACATATATAAATTTACAAACAAACATAATATTTCCTGAGGTAAACTATTTTTGCTATTAAAATATATCCTTAAACTTCTTTCCATGACATTATTCTGGTTTCATGTATACCTATTTTAATAAACGAAGATTTTTTGGATAATGTCATTCACTGATTCTGTTTTCTTATAGTCAATCTTTAGTTGTTCGATTTGCCTAGCTGTCAGCACGTATCCAGATTTAAAAAAATCCAAAGACTTCTTTGAAAATATAAATAAGTAGTTATTTTAGAATGCAAATAAATGTAGAACTTTCAAAGGCATTGTGTTTGCTTTGGCGAATATAGTTTATAGATGTTGTTCTACAATTTTTCTAATTGTTTATGGTATGTATGTATGTGTTTGTGTTAAGAGTAAATGTGTAAATGGTATTAATTGAAATCACCAAACTCTTTTTCAATTGATATCTTATTTTTCTTATCTGTATTAATTTTGAGTAGGATTGCTTTGACGCCTAAATAATCAATATTTTGTATTGTAGTATAGAAAATTTATACAATAACACAAACTGAATGCAACATTTTATTTTATAAAAAAAAAAAAAATAAGTGTTCAACGTCTGGATGTTGGTGATATTCTGTACATGTTCATCGTGTGTATCCATTAGACGGCCTTCTTCGACAAATCATGTGACAATTAACAGTTGCACAGTATTTGTTCGTTGGACAATCTCCATCACGATGGCACTCTTTTTTGCAACCAATTGATCCACTTACTACTGACTGAGAAACCACCCCTGAACCAGAAGTACGTACTGATCCACCACGTCTTAAGGAAACTGTGTCTAATACATCAAGTCTACTTCGTCTAAGGTTGGTTGCGTCAAGAATATCAGAACCTGCATGACCAGATATTCCACGACTTCTACCTATTGTTTCCAAATGAGCTTTGCTAGATAGGCCCAAATCCCTGGCCAGACCAGATGAACCAATTCTGCTGCCAGAGGATAAATGACCATCATTACTCGAAACTCTGGTCAAGCCAGATGACAAACTTCTAATTATTTCCCTCCTTATAGAGTCGGACAATCCAGATGCACCAATTATACTTCCAGAAGAAATTTCCACGCAGTAGCTGCTACATCCATTGTGAATACATTTATGTCCTGAACGACATAATTTATCTCCTCCACACCCATAATGACAGTTACTGATAATGTCATCGTCAGATAAAGCACGTGAAATACCAGCTGAGGAGCCTCTAATAATTTCAGTTATAGATGTCCTGCCTCCAATAGAACCCCCAGAAAATCCTCTACTAGCTGATGACCCGCGTGATAAAAAGTCATTGCCTATTCCATGAGATGTTCCAACTGCTCTTGATCCTGCTCGTCTGTTTGCATCAATTGCATCCAGTACAGAAAGGGATCCAGCACCACTACGCCCGTTTATGTCTCTCCCAACTGTGTTTTCGACCTGTAAAATCTTCTTCACTCCATGTTTGTCTAATGCATGCTTTTCTGTTGGTGAATAGGCTGTAAGGATAAATATCGAACTTTTTTTACAATATTCACAAATCAAGTAATACAAAATACAATACAGGTGAATTACTATCTGCATATGAATATCAGGATATATGTAGTAATTGCAAATAAGACAACTATTCACCATACACCAAAGGATGGTGTAAACTTGTAAAACCTTCTTCACTCCATTTATATCTAATGCATGCTTTTCAATGGGTGCATAGACTGTAAAATTAAATATCTCACAATTTATATAATCTTTATCAATAAAGTAATACCATAAACAATACAGGTTAACTAATATTTACATATTTATATAAGGATACTTGGTACAATTGTCAAAAAAACAATTATCCACCATAGACCAAAAGTAGAGGTTGTAAAGAGTTGCAGATATCGTTCGGTTTCAGCACTGAGCAAAGCCCATACCTTATCGTAAGCTATTACAAGACCCCTATGATAGAATTAAAAACAATTCAAAACACAAAACCATTCGTTTCAAACTTTTTTCTTCTAATTTACAAAATATATGCAGATTCTCATTTTTTTATATAGATCAGACTGTTGGTTTTCCTGTTTAAATGGTTTTACACTAGTCATTTTTGGGGCCCTTTAAAGCTTGCTGTTTGAAGTGAGCCTAGGCTCCGTGTTGAAGGCCGTACTTTTACCTATAATGGTTTACTTTTACAAATTTTGACTTGGATGGAGAGTTGTCTCATTGGCACACATATCACATCTTCTTATATCTAGATGTTGGTACTATGCTTTCTTATAATTATGTACGAAAGTTATCTATGTTTAAGAACATTTCTGCGGTAAGATATTTAGATTTTATATACACTTTGAAAACACTTTTGACAAACAGCTTATATATATCGAAATGTCAATTAAATAATTTGCTTACCAGTTACTGTCATTGTGGTCAATGCCATCAACAAGAATATGGTCTGGAACCTCATCATTTTTAAGAATTCTGAAATTTACAGGATAATATCATTTCTAAGAAAATAACAATTCACATATTTAATTTTTATACGAATCATTTCATGGAAAAAAATAGTCTGACTTAACTATACACCTGCAAGACAGTAAAATTAAAAAAAAATATACTCTTTGAGGCTAATATTTTCTTTGTGAGGTATATAAAATGCCAAAACAATTTTGATACTAGCCAACATGAGGGGTGTGTTGTGCTTTTTTTGGAGCTACAGGTTGTTCAAATTAAGATGTAGTGGAAGGATTATACCTAAAGAAGGCATGTGAATTAAAAAAAAAAACTGAAAGTCGATAGAATTTTGAAATGAACATCCGAGACAGCCCTTATCAAATGCATTCTGGTAATAAAAAATAGAAAACAATTTGAGAAAAGAAGGAAAAGGTGCCAATATTTCGACCGTTATGATCTTTTTTAAGGGATATCTTCGCAATAAGAAAAGAAAAAACCAAGCTGAATGTGAACAGTGTGTCCTTAAGAAAAATATAAACGGTACCAATATTCATGCAACAGATGCGCATGTCGACTATTAATGCATTTAATATAGTGATGCTCGAGGCAATATTTTAAGACTCAAAATGTTATACTGGGGTTGAAGAGCTGAATAAAAAGGAAAATAAAGTATAGACAAATCTGGGGAAAAATTCAGAGCAATAAATCGTATAAATGAAGCTTCAATCTATACCACAACTTTATTTTTCAGAGAGCTTATGTTGAAATTACAAAAAAGAAAGATATATTAGATATCGATTCACGAAATAACAAATAAAGAAAAGGGGATTGAAGCAAAATATACATCTCGAACTTGCATAACATTCAATGATTGTCAAGTTCAAGAAAGAAATAGACATTTATTTTTTACACTGTTTCAACTTCAGAAAGGAACATGACTTTGTATACTTATTATCGTCAATCTATGAAATAGTTAATTCAGTCAGATTTTCAATTCTGGTAGATTTTAAAAAAGCGAAAATCAGTTGTGGAAATGAATTATACTCTGATGCAGTACTATGTTACTGTATCTTATACTAAATTACTTATATCAATACGAAAATGGTGAACAATGCACAACGCTTTCAGCTATATAAATCCTTTATGTAAATCTTTATTAACTTATTTAATATCTTTGTTACTATTGCATTATTTATGTTTTGTATATTTATCAAATTTTTGTATGCTTAATATTTAAAAATTTCTTACCTTTGTTTCTAGCGATTGGAATTATTTCTAATGAATAGTATTTTACTGCTTACAAAATATCCTTTTATACCTTTTTCAATTATTTTGTTTATAATACACATGTACACAAGGAAATTTGTAATTAACCGCAAATGATGAATTCGTTAATTATATTTGAAACTTTAAATGTCATGCTGTCGTACTTTTTAGAAATTGCAGAATATGTTTATCTAAAGAAATGTACTTAAGGTGAATAACACATTTTGTTTCCTCCTACATCAAACATATGTTCCATTACATCATAAAACATGTATGTATTTTGAAATATTGCTTTCACCTGTTAATAATGTTCTCAAATGAACGCATTGCATATTTGGCAGAACCTAGAGACTTGTACAGTTTGAAAAAAAATGTAAACTGAAGTCGTATATTTCCTTACAGACGATATGTTTTTTTTTCTTAAAATTGTTTGGAAAACCACGCGATGCTTGATAATTATTTAACATGACGTTGGAAAAATTATCTAAGGTAGACGATTTTCAATCTAACAGCAAGTCTCGCAATTTGTCTGCACATGATTCACTAGTCTTGTTTGAATCATAAAAACAGGGCGCAATTAAAAATCAATTACGAATTTAAAGAAAATGAAAACCAAGAATTCCAAAAAAGTTCCGTCAAATCTGGCTACTGTCAGCTTTGTCTTGGGGTAAAACTAAATCCTTCTTGATTTGATGCTATTCTACATTTTTTGTTAATGTAAAATTTCAGACAATTATCTTTTTTTCTCAACCAAAGTAAGAAGATTACTTGTCAGATGATACACACGATGAAAAAACGTCTCCCAGCAGTAGTTTCGACCTAGTTGTTGTAGTACTCAGCGACACGATTATTGTCTAGTCGTTACGGGTGCTCCCACGCTTCAAATATCGTGAACAGTAAGATCAAGAGCTTTCTCTTACTTAAACAAAACCCCTTTATCCTTTCAAGACGATTAAGAGCTTAAAATAATATGTCGACACTTGTCTTTTGTCGAAGACTATATCTTACCCTAAAGATATCTTTTGCTTACTTTTGTCGATGGATTGCTATCTCTTAGACGTGCATCCACATCTTCTCATTCATAACTGTCTCACTTCTGATCTAGTAATCTTCATAGTAGTTCAGCAGACGTTCAAACTCATCAAAGATACCCGGTTATAATTTAGTACGCTAGACGATCGTTTCATCTACATAACATTCATCTGTGGTGATCGAAATTAAAATTGATGGAAGACCAGATCAAATGCAAAGCTGAAGAACATTAAATCATTTAGTCAGTGTGACCATCATACAATTCAAAATCTCATATTATTAGACATAACTTTGCTTTGTACTAAATGTTTTATCAATCAAACCTAAAAGGAGATTACACAAACTTCTCTATCTACATAACATTGGTGCAAATTAACTCACAGATAGATTTGGATCTTGCATAACATTTTAGGGATTTTCATTTTTGGTTTAGCGAGACAATATCATAAACAAGTATATTGTCTGCTCTATGGTCGGGTTGTTGTCTCTTTGACGCATTCCCCATTTCCATTCTCAATTTTATACTATGAGAAAAAAAATCCTCTGAAATTTCATTTCCATGATGAAGTTTGATTCGAATTTCATCCAGCCATCAGAAATAATTTAAAATGGTTTTTGATAACATCAAGGCTTAATATTCGCATCAATTTAACAAACTTATCTTGTTGATACATTTGCTGGGCAACATTACTTATAACTTTTCCGAGAATGAAGGAATATAAATGATGTTTGATACAGACAATCATTACTCTGTCTTCTTTAAACATTGGGAAATATAGTTGGTGAATTTATTACACCTTCAAATTTTGATAGGCGATATCCCTTTGTTGATGACTTATCAACTGATTTAGTAACACCATAGGCTACGGTAAATTGTGTGTTTCTACTCAGGAATGGAAAGTTGACAATATTCAAACTTAGAAATTGATTTTGTTCAATATCTTAATTTCCAGTGTTAATGCGACTCTTTCAGATTTTGTTTGTTATCGTGATTTTTAATTTTTTAATCGAATAATGTGATTTGACTATCGATTAACTATTGTTGCTGCACATCATTTCAACCAGCATCAATAAAAGACAACAATCTAGATATGAAGCAAACGTCCTCATCTTAAAAAAATAATAAAAGAGGCAGAGATACCACGGGGACATCAAAAACTCATCAAATTAGAGAAAAATGAAAACGCCATTGCAAATAAAAAAGAAAGAAAGAAGACGAAAAGACAAAGAAGTTCACAGAAGACTACATAGAAAACTAATAAATAAACAACACGAACCCCACCAAAATCTTACACATCCTTGATAAATGTGAAATGTAAGCACTCAATAACAAATAAAGGAAAACGCCAATTTGTTTGAAAAAGAAATTAAAATATTTTTTTATTTGTTTTCTTCTCCTCTATGAGAACATATTTGTTTCAACTCTTTTTTATATGAGCTAAAGAAATAGTTTTGATTAATTTTTTTTGCATGTGTTCTTGATTTTGTCAAAATGTTCAATTTAACGCTATTCATGAGAGAAAGTAACCCTAAATTTTCAATCTGAACGTCTAAATTGGTATTTTACAACAGGTCTGCACAGAATGCATTGTAGTGTATATTTGTGTCATTAAGCGGTTTGTATTGATAAAGATATTCTTTTTTTTATTGTTACAATTTCTTTATTGCACATTTTCTGTAACATGTTACTAACTAAATAGCTTTGAACTTAGTATTCTTTAGATTAATTTATCTTTTAAGGGAAACACTTTTTGGAAAGATATAACTTAATTCATTATGTTAGTATTAATGATATAACTCATTCTACAAATATATTATAAAGATGTCAAATAATATCAATAGGTTCATTATATTTGTATATTTCATGTTAAAACAATTTACTTGTTGTCACGGACAAAATGGCAAGTATATTTATCATATAGAATAGCATCATTCTCAACACAACTATCTAACATTTTCTAAAGTATATGTATAACATATATAACTTTATATCCGGGGGTAGACTAAGGCAACAGTAGTTTAACGATGTTTAAACATATAGAGACAAGTTCATGACTTCTCAATCTGTTGGTTCTGAGTACATTTCCTTGTAACTGAAGGTAAAGGTGGTATTAAAGTAATTCATATTTTTTGGCACTAAGAAATGTTGTAGTGGCGCATACTGCTTTTTCGATTGCATATTTAATATTACTTAATATTCATGTCAGGGCAATTTCTGGTTTATCTTGGGTAAAAATCTATTAAAAATGTTCCAATTAATAAATCTTTGGTTAAAAGGTTGACGTGATTGAAAATAACTGCAAAATTACATGAAATGCTACTCTGGACAAACATGTCAAAAACCGGGATCTTTTTCTTTTTATCCTAAATTTCCTTACAGATTCCTTAAACTCATGTGTTGAATTAAAAGATATAAGTAATATACTTAACTACCATTCTTTAACTGCATATTTATTATCTTGCGAAAAAGGGGAACATTTTTTCTTTGGAGATTAGCAAGCTTGTACTACCCGCTTTAGCAACTATTCGCAATTGACTGATGCGGTGATCTTAATTTACCAAGCTTATTAGTAACGTGCTATGAGTTAGACCAACCGTTGCGATGGAAACAATGCAGGGATTCCAATGGGGACTAACTGTGCACCACTTATTGCGGACCTGTTTTTGTATCGTTATGAGTTACAATTTATGACTAAAATCAGCAAAGACCCATCGAAACAACATCTGATACAAAAATTTAACAATACTTTTAGATATTCGGATGATGAATTGGCTCTCAATAATGACGACTTCAGTGTGTATACTAAAGAAATTGATCCTGTTGAACTTACTTTGGCCTTTGTTAGTCTTGTATCATTTTTAATTTTAGTTTCGTGTGTATAATTTGGAGTTTAGTATGACGTCCATTATCACTGAACTAGTATACATATTTGCTTAGGGGCCAGCTGAAGGACTCCTCCGGATGCGGCAGTTTCTCGCTGCATTGAAGACCCATTGGTGGCCTTCGGCTGTTGTCTGCTCTATGGCCGGGTTGTTGTCTCTTTGACACATTCCCCATTTCAATTCTCAATTTTATGTATAAATACCCGTCCACGTCCACTCTGTTTTTGTTAGATGTATTTATATTTGTTTCCATCTGATGAGTTAAGCCTTTTTCAACTGATTTTTATAGTTTGTTCTTATGTTTTACTGTTGCAACACTGCCCAAGGTTAGGGGAGGGTTGGTGCCCTCAAACGAGTTTAATTCCGCCACATTCTGTATGTGCCTGTCCCAAGTCAAGAGCCTGTAATTCAGTGGTTGTTGTTTGTAGCTGTTTAACATTTTTGTTTTTCGTTTATTATTTTGTACATAAATTAGGCCGATAGTTTTTTTGTTTAAATTGTTTTATATTTGTCATTGCGGGGCCTTTTATAGCTGACAATGTGGAATGGGTTTTTGCTCATTGTTGAAGGCCTTACCGTAACCTATAGTTGTTAATCTTTGTGTCATTTGGTCTCTTGTGGAGTGTTGTCTCATTGGCAATCATACCACATCTTCTTTTTTTATAACAATGGTACGGAAAGCTTGCACAGGTGTTGCGATTTAATAGACATGACTTAAAAAGGGTGGACTATATTTTAAAATGTACTACTAAACGTAAATTGTGTTCAGGCATGCAAAACATGAGATATATAACTGCTCGATACAAAGATGACGCTGGTATCGTTAATGTTATCAACAAGTTGTTATTATGCTTTTGAGAAAAAATATATATGCGGCAAATAATTAGTGTCCAAGTATATAAATATATCAGGAGGTCCGGGTACACAGTTATCGTCCTTTGATTTTCGTTGTCTACAAATAAAGTCCCTAGTTTGGACAGTGTATAACTTTCAAATTTGTTTCATACACCTTCCAAATTCATTTCTTTATATTTTTGCATAAAACAGTAAGTAGGAGGTTGAAATTACATGTTTAAAACATTCGGGGCATGAACT